CGAGTCCTACCACTCCCCTTGTCAAGCATGCTTATGATATGATTGAACATAAATAAATAATTTAACAGATTTTTCTGAATCTTGCATAAAGTCTTCCTATGGCTATACGGCTATAACTATCTACATCTGTGCGCTTCACATTACAGAATCCCGTCAACTCTCAAATCTCAATGTACAAATAAATGAATTGTAGAATAACAGAAGTTTATAACAAGTATTGGTATTCACTATAATAAATTCTATAGAAATATCTGCCAATCGTAGACCTTAGCGTCCAAATCTTTGTTATCTTGTAATCTGTGTCTCAGTTCCATGGCTAAATCTGCATCCTTGGCAAGCAAGAGAGCAAACCCGCCACCGCCAGCTCCAACCAGCTTGTACCCACAGCAGTATGGACTAGCAAAAGAAAAGAGCCTGTCAACAGACTCGTCGCTGCAGTAAGGATCAAGCTCTTGATGCAATCTCCAAGCTTCCAACATTATCTCGCCAAGTTCATCAATGTCGCAATTCATCAAAGCTTCTCTCCCAATCTTTGCCAGTTCAACAAGGCGCTTAATACTGGATACAAGAAGGTTATCCCGCCGAAGATATCTGATCACCACTTTTTGCAAAACCTTATGTGCAAGTCGAACCTATAAAACGGATCACAGCTAATTAAAAAAGATAATATATCAAGAGAAGTGTTAGCTTCAAAATGACAAGATAGAAGAGCGGGGAGTTTGTATTTAAATGCATAAATTCCAGGTCACACACTAAGCTAAGGCTTATCCTCGTAGGAAGTCTATTTAATACTTGAAACATAAGCAGAGCTCTCTGTGCAGGACAAAAAACACAAAAACAAGTTCCTATCATAATATAATACTTACTTGACCAGTAAATACAACAAGTAACCTTTGCTGCAACTCCGAAACCAGCTGAGGTGAAGCTAACAAAGGAATGACTTGAAGGCGCAATGGAATTCCTGGAAAGCTTGAAGTACATTTGATCCCAGGGTATAATCCCCCAATTTGGTCCTGCCAACCACCTCCAGTGCCCATGAGTTGTTCTAACACCAAAACAAGTCTAGCAACATTCTCAGTGCTATCATCGCCATCAATTATCTGGAGAAGTGCTTTTACCACTGCAGCAGCCAAGATGCTAGAAGTACCTAATCCACTACCACGGGGGACATTGGCCCACGTCTTGATTTTCATGCCCATGTCTACAAGAACATTGTCATGAATAATCCCAGTCACGAGTAACGCAGATTTGACCAACCGAAATGGATCATCTCCATCAAATGGAGCAGAAATGGATTTATAATCTTCAATATGTAATTGGTTGTTCACATCATCAGTAATTAATACTCCAGTTGTTTCAGTTGTCTCTATGATGGTGCCAATTGGAGCAGAACCTTCCAAGCTTATTGCCATATTTAGAACACATCCAGCACGCTCAATGCTCCATGGAGGGGTATCACTCCAACCCCCAACAAAATCAACGCGTACAGGTAATTCTACTTTTACCATTCTAGGATGGAAAGGCTGACAAATTTGCCCATCATAGTGGTTATTCTGGTACTCATGACAGGAGAGGCTACCAGGTGACTCTGATAAATGCTCTGCAAAAAGGAGACTGAATTCAGCTTTATAAATTTCATTTTCTCAAAATTTTTTACATAAATTGAGGGAGCAATTATCTAGTTCAGATATGGAAATAGAGAATATGATGTTTATGCTTAATTAAAAAACTAACATAGTATGTTATAACCTGCCATTTTATGTCAGAACTCAATAGACTCCTCAATCCTGCATTCTTTTACAATTCTAATATAATAATATTATGAGCCTCAAATATACAGAGATAACATCTGGAGAAATTAATATAACCAACTTTAGACATAAATACCATTATTTTATCTTCAAAGGAAATATCGATTTTCAATAGTTTAATTGCTATATTGTTTTTCAATAACCAGTTCATTCGTGGTTTCACTTCATTATTTTACCCTAAGAAAATAGATGCTAATAAGCATAATATGATGTAAGAAAATAATGTGCAATTCATCATGCCTTGACAAAAGCAAATGATCCTTACTCTGAATATAATTTAATATCACTTTTCTTGTATTTGTTTCTCTACGTAGGTTATCCTAAGTTACAGCAAACAATATTGAGAAAGATAGTGCTGCGAGTTTGTGTATGTAAATCTTCAGGAAGGATTAAAGTACCTTTAAATCCATATCTTACTGCTGATGCAGTTTCATCAGCCACAGCAGCCCAAACTTTGGGCTCCAGCTTGCATGCTGTAGCTTCATCATTGCAAGCTCGAAGAAGATCAACTTGAACCTGGTAAGCCCGGCTTTTGGGAAGTATATTAGAATTCTGCTCCTGAACTTTTGGACACATACCCAGAAAATCCTTGCATATTTCAACTCCAGAACCCTCCTTCTGAAGAATCT